ACTGGCTAGGGCCATGCTGACAGGCTTTGAGTATACCAGGCATGTGGAAGCACATACAGGGTCCCCAGGACTGAAGAAGCCACTCACTTCTATACTATCCACCTGACTCTGCACTGCCACCTTAGGGGGACCGGGACCCGCCAGGACGTCATGCAGTTCTTAACTCTAATGAGAAAACACGGTTCAAAGAGGCAATATGGACGCAGGAACCCCACCCACTCCCCAACACACTGGGTCCTCAGACTTCAGGTCTTACAGTACCACAGGGCTTGCACTGTTGCAATTTTTTCTCACATAGCCCAAGCTGGCCTTGAACTTAACTATGCAGCTGAGGGTGACCCTGAACTTCTAATGTTCCTGCCTCCACCTCCAGGGTGCTGGGATATCAGGAGTGTTCCACCATATCCAGTTTATGAACTGCTAGGGATTGAACCCATTGCCTCAATTCACCATCCACTATTGGAGATGGACTAGAGAGGGCATCCCTGGCCAGGCTGAATCCACCATGGCCCCTCCCTACCCATGGGACTCCCCTGGGGGCAAGATGCAGAGGGCAAGGAGGAGCCATTAGGGGGAAATGGGAATCAAGGAAAATGACTGCTTAATTACACCGGATGTGGAGGGGGGGGGGAGCGACGCCTCTTAAATCAGAAAATAAAGCTGCGCTTCTTGCTCCCTGAAGTCTATAAAACATGGGAGGACTTTTTATGGTTGTAATCAAAAACCTCATTTCTCCAGTCACCACTGGCCGGATCTAATTAGGGTGAGGTATGCTAACGACACAAGCCCAGCCCGGGACATTGCTCCTTGTGATATTAATTGCATTTAAAGAGGAAAGCATGAACCACACTCATGCTCACTAATTAGTGTGGGGTTACTAATTAATAACACAAAGTCAAACTGCCTTTGTCCTGCCATCAGCGATTAGCTCACAGTCCAGAGATACCCCTTCTCCTCTGTATGAACTCACTTGGAGAAGATAGTGGGGGAGGGGCCACAGGCTTCAGGGATCAGGAAGGCACTCAGGTCAGCAACCCAGGAGTGCAGGATGCCCTGTATGACTCCTTCCACACATTTCCGGGGCCAAGATGGCACTGGCCCCCCTCCGTCCTTCTCCACAGCATCTTGGATACAGGGTTGGGATACAGGCAGAGCAGGCTGCTGCCCACAGAGCCTCAGTGTCTGGTCTGCTGCTACATCTGTGGTTCATCTTCCATGAGCTGCTTGAGCAGGATAGGTCTGCCAAGACCAGGAACTGTGAAAAGCACGTGTAACCCCAAGAGGTTACAGGTTAGCCAGAGGAGGTAGCACCTAGAGCCCATGCAAGTCAGGATAACAGAAAGGGGGGCCTTGAGATCAGGCCCACCACAGTTCCTTCTGTTGGGCACTTCTCTCCCCCATGCCTCTTGCGAAGGGCACAGCATGCCAGACACATCAACCATATCCTTCAGGCACCAGGACAGAGGGGACAAGTCACAACACAGGACAAGGCTGGAAATCCAAGCTTAAATCCAGAAAAAGAGGCTAGGAGTGGTGGGCATACCCGTAATTCCAGCACTCAGGAGGCTGGGAGAGGAGTATCATGAGGTCTAGGCCAGCCTGGGCTACAGAGGGAAAAATACTCTGTCTCAGAAAAGGTGGGACTAGGGAATGGGAGATTGCTCAGCCAGTAAAGCACTTGCATGAGGACCTGAGTTCAGATACCCAGAACCCACATAAAAAGCTTGTTATCCTGGTGATAGTGAGATGGGAGATGGGAGGTGGATCCCTAGAAGTTCATGGACCAGCCAGTCTGGCCTACACGGCAAAGTTCCAGGCCAAAGGTCTTGCCTCAAACAAAAGATAGAAGGCACCTGAGGAACAACATCCAAGGTTATTCTCTGACCTCCAAATGCACGCACACATACATACATTCATATATGTGCACTCCCCATAGGAACATGTGTACATACACACCAAAACCAACCAAACAAACCCTCAAAATGAATACTAAGGGTCTAGAGAGCTGACTCAGCAGTTAAGAGCAGTTCTCACAGAGGACCTGGGTTCAGTTCCCAGCATGGAGACTCACAACCATCGTCCATAACTGCAGCTTCAGGATATCTAACACCCTCTCTGGCCTCTATGGGCACTGCACACACATGGTGCACTTGCATGCAGATAAAAGCAGATAAAACACTCATACATGTAACATTTAATTAAAAATAATAAAATAAAATGCAAAAAAGGAGTGCCATCAGCAGCAGCAAATGAAGCTGGGAGGGCAGGAAGAAATGGTGGAGAAAGGATTCCAGGGAAAGCCTCACCATAGGCCACATAACTCATATGACTGGTGGCTACAGCATGTTCCCATGGGACACACAGTTCTATGGGGCATTGCTCCTGATACTTGGGTCCACCGCTCTGGGGAAACCTCCCCTCACCAGACTCAAAGGGGCCTGGAGGGGCGCTGCAGCAGAGGAGTCTGGGGCAGCCAAGGCTCAAGGCTCAATGGCAGTTGGGGCTTGAGCATGGATCTTCCAGGACCCAGGACCCAGGACCCCATTTCTCCTCAGGTGAGAGCTTGCTTGGTCAACACCCCTCAATCCTGTAGCACTGTGAGGACAGACACTCAAGCTGAATCTGCAACTGTGACCAGCTGCCCAGGCCTGCAGGCATTGCCACTTCTTATCTTCCCCTAACCGGGAAGGAGCAGAGAGAAGCACAATAAACAATGTAAAGTAACCCAGGATTAGACAATCAGAGGCAGAAATGAGGAACCCAGCTAAGGAGACAGCCATAGCCCCCAAGGATGAAGAAAAGCTGCCCCAGGGGCCAGCATCTGTGTCAGCTCGGAGGGAAAGGGACTTGAAGCCTGTGGTACCTGCCCTTCTCCACAGGGTCCAGAAGACAACCCTGTTTCACCATATTCTTCCACCGATCATAGTCCTCATGCACCCAGGCAGAGAGCCTCGGCCAAAGGGCAGGCCTGGGGCTGGGGAGATGGCTCAGGAAGTACAGCACTTGCCCTGCAATCCTGAATATGGATCCACAGAACCCAAATAAAGCTGACATGGTAGCAAATGTCTGTAATCCCAGCACTCCTGCCAAGAGATGAGAGACTGTTGAATAGCAACTTCCTCTGAGTAAAACCTTCCATATGCAAAGAAGCTTGTTAAGACACAGGATGCTCTAAAAGAAGTTGAAACACTCCATTCTGCAAGGAAGTCAGTAAGTTCAGGAAGTAAACAACTCAGTAGCTTCAGGAAGTCCCTGAAACTGACAAGATCACTAGGCCCCCTCCCTCTGCCAATATAAGTCCTAAGGACTGCTGAGAGACTGTGACCTAAGAGGCTCAGATTGACGAAGCCACCTGGAAAGGCCATTCTCTGAGACCTATTGGGCAGGTTATGCAGTGTGCTCCAGGTATCTATCCATCTTTTGTGAGCCATAGTTTGGGTGGCTTTTGGTGATGCACTGTCTTTGAGTCATTTTGGCTCCTGAAGTAACCCCTCACCAGTACTCTTGTAAGTAACCCCAATAAAACTCATTGTTTCACCAAGTTGGACTTTTTGGCGGTATCCTGACTTTGGTCTATTGTTGGATCCCTACCTGGAGTGAGTAGACGTTTGTTCACATCTCCCCAAGAATAGTGCCACATAGCAAAGGCAGAGACTGGAAGCACACAGGCCACCTGGCCTGGGTACAAGGCAGTGCGAGACCATCTCCAACAAGGTGGATCTGATGTTCTCTCCTTTGCTCCTCTCTTGACTGAAGGAGAAGGAAGCAGGGGTGCAAAGGCTAGAATAGGACTCCAAATTGGCTGAGACAGAGAAACACAGTTATCACTCTGCTGGGGTGGGGGGGGACTTTGTGACTGTACTTCCCTGGGACCTTCAGACCTTCAATAGGGAATAGAAGGTAAGAGGACCAGCCAGAGTTCAGCAGTGCACCACCTAGTGCCCTACCCCCAGCCCCTGAGGAAAATGCCAAGGCCCCTGTGAGGACAGAGTACCCAGGATTGTCCAGCACTAAGGGTCCAAGACCAGTGTCTACCCCCTAAAAAGAACTCAGGACTCACAGTTCCTCCAAAGTGACATGGGAGCTGGGAGGGGCATAGGGCAGGGCCAGGGCAGCCATGCTGCTATGGGAAGTGGGAAGGCAAACTCAAGGAGGGCCCTGGTGACAGCAAGCTGCTCAGCCACAAAGCCCCCGGCCAGGCATGTGCTTAGCACAACTCATTTCTAATTCTTCTTGGCCTCGTGTACATTATGAAAACAAGGCCCTGGGGCACATCCCAATTTGGGTCAACAATGAGGAAGTATTGCTGCATAAAACATCAGGGTCTCCCCAGGCTGTGCAGACAGATGCCTGTGTCCTACACTTGGCTTCCCCAAATCAACAGCACAAATAGACCACACCAGAAGCAGGCCAGAGTACCCGGTTCACAAGGATGAAGCCTAAGCGGCCACATGTGGAGACATGGGCCACAGCTGCACACATAAGCCAGCCTGTATCCAAGATCAACTGCCTGGGTGGAACCAGTTCATTCCCTCCTGACAGCCTGCCAGGGTTAAAGAGACCCCACCACAATCACAGACAGTCATCACACCCCACAGCACCCTTCACTGTTACTGCTGGTCACAGCACCCCACAGGCTACTCACCTTCCTCCACTCTCATCAATCTTGAGTCCCCACAGAAAAACCCTGACTGTCACTCAGGCTGTTTTGGCTAGACCCAAGCCCTTAGCAGCACTTTCAGACTCTCACATCTGAGTAACACACATGTGGGGCACCAGGACTCAGTTTCCAGCCCAGCCCCTTCCACTCTGTTTCTGCTTTCAAGAGGAGGCCAGGTACTGGTCCCTGAGGGCCAAGACCTGACAGGGAAGGGCAGGCATTCCCATGTACTCAGGATCCAGGACTCCAGGTGACCCAAGGCCTCGCTGTCCTTGCCACATGGCAGCAAGTGACACTTCCTAACCCCTGAGTCACCGCCCCCCCGCCCCCAAGTACTCACAGTGTCAGCTCTCTGCTTCTGACCTCCGAGCTCTTCCAGGGCCTGAGACAGCTGAGCCTGCAAGACAAGACCAAGAGGGACAGGGTTAATGCCTGCCAATCTGGGGTGAATGGCCCACTTCAGTCTCCACTCCTTTCTGGGTCTGCGAGGGCCATACCACCACATTACTCAGGCCCTAGGTAACATGAAGTCCACAGCAAATGCTGCCACATGGTCACAGGAGAGGCCATGCAGCACAGCGGGGGGTTGAAGAAGAGGTCAACCAGGTACCTCCTGCACTCAGTCTCTCATTCTGGAAGAACTGAGGTGGCCTGGCTGACACAGCCACGTCCCAGAAAAATCAGAGGCTCCTCAATACAGCCACCACCAGGCAGACAGGAAAGGGCAGGGAGAACCCCCAGCTGGAGGTGCATGACCTGCAGTCTCCTGGATGAAGAAAAGGGAGGTTCAGACTAAGGAGCCAAGGGTAGCTGTATTGTACCCAAGCACTTTGGAACCTCAGGACTAAAAGCCGAAAGGATCTTATCCATGGGCTGCAGCTCCACTCCCTTAGAGGACGGCCTTCCTTCATGCTACCCAGCCTCTGCTTTGTCAATCCAGAGACAATCCAGTGACATGGAGCACACTGTTGTAGGCCACCCTGATGGAGGCCACCATAAAGCAAGCATAGAGTCAATGCCAGTGGCACCTCACTGGCTGCCAACAGTTGCCAGCTCTCATAGGCTCTCCTAGAGCCTTCCAGGGCAGTCAGGAAATGGTATGTGAAGAGGTTGGGATGTTGCAAAGGTACATGCCCCAATCACAGGTGGCTGCTATGGGCTGTCTATAAATGCACGAGGTCAGTGAGCCAACCGCATAAACAGAGGACATGGTCAGCCTCATGGAGCTGGAGGGACTTTGCCCAGCCTAGAGCAGCAGAGTCATTCCACTGTCAGGTCTGTACAAGGCAAGGAGACGCACTCCTTCGCTCTGTCTCCTGTGCCACTGGCCCTCTGCTTCTAGGGATTGCCACAGGCTGAGGCACCCCGAAGACACCATGCACCCAGCGCCTGCAGAGGCTGTCTACATGCACCTCACCCACTGTTAGGGGGTGTTTTTTATGTACCACTTTAGAAAGGAAAAACCAGCCCAGAAGCCAAGCACCAGTGAAGAAGACAGGATTTGAAGCCAGGCCCACTCTGTCACTCTCAAAACTGGGAGAACTTCAAGGCCCAAGTGTCCACCCTAGGGCACATAATCCTCCCCCCTCCCCAAACATACCACCATTTACCGTTCCACAAGCAAGGGGCTGCAGGGCTAGGACCGACACCCCCTCTACCCACCTGGCCTCAAGGACATATGCATATCTGCTGCAAAGCAGTGAGGGGAAAAAAAAAAAAAAACACCATGACAGAGCAGGCGAGGAGGCAGACATCTCCCAGAAAAGGATCCACACAAGGCAGCAAACACACAGAAAGGTAATTAACACGGTTAGCAATTAGTCAAATGCAAATCAGGACAAACAGAAACACCACTCTGGGAAGAATACCACCAGTGAAGACAGGCTGGCAGAGCCAGAGAACACTGGGGCACCAAGAGCCAGAAAGGACAGAGTACAGAGTCATGTGGCACCAGAAACTACAAACAAGAAGACTTGGTTTTTCCATAGAATTTAACAGCTGCATAATCCACTGGAGGTATAGTTCAAAGGATTAAGAAACACACAGCCGAAGAGGTAGCTCAGTGGCTTAAAGTGCTTGCTACACACACATAAGGACCTGAGTTCAGATCATCAGCACCCACAGAAAAACAGGACATAGTTACATCCGTAACCCCAGAGCTCCTACAATGAGATGGGAGGTGGAAATAGGAGACTCCTGGAAGCTTCCAAGCCAGCTAACCTGGCAGACACAGGAGTAAACAAGAGGCCCTGTTTTAAACTAGGAAGAAGGTGAGGAGGAACATGTGTGTCTTGACTTTGGGGCGCTCTCTCTCCCCCCCACCCCCGCTACCTTTGGTAATGGGTAATGGAGGCCCTCCTTTTCTGACCACCACATCTATGGTTGAAAGAGGAGCAGGGCACCAGCACCTGATCCCACCCCATCAGCACATAAACAGAAGGTTCTTCCCCAAATGACTGGGAAACATGTTCCATCCACCTCTCCCAACTACAGGTAGAGCCATGCTTGGTGGGACAGTGGGCCAGAATCAAACACCAGTCACATACTATGGCTCCCTGAGCAGGGGAGGGAAGAAAGACATGTCATTCCTCAGATCTACCAAGCCCGGCTGGCGAGGAGGCCTTCTGAGTACATGGCCTGGGTAAACAGCAGAGTATGTAGTACTATGAAGGGGAGTCTGTGCCCCCAGCTGGGGCTTCATCAGTCACCACTCCACATCCAAAGAGTGGGTCCCTTCTGAAGCCCCAGCACTCATTCACTTGAGCACTGGACCCAAGGATACCAGACAAATTCATGCCACGGATGGCAGACACTGTCACCATGCCCCTCAGAAGGGACACACAGGAAAAGTCTTATCTACAGGTCTGAGCATATAGCCTCTGGCAAAGGCCACATCCCCTGCAGCCTAGCCCTCATCAGAAGACACAGTTCAGAGCTGAGGACAGAGGATGAGGTGGGAATGCCCAGCAGCAGAGGTGAGCGGGTGCCAGGCTCCAGTGCTGAGACATCTGGACAGAAATATCTCCTCTGGTAGCATCACAATGCCTGCCCTACCCTTTGCAGAGATGATGAGAAATGGTAGCCCACCGCGATTCATCTGCTCTTGCTTTCTCCTGAGATTTCCAAAGAGGGTCAGGCAGCAGGAGGCACGTCTGCCAGCTGTTCCTCATCTGCCCCACAGCTGGCCCACACATCTGAGCAACTGGCCTGTGCAGGTGGGGTCACCCATCTTGTCCCTTCTGCTTACATGGCACCAGTTCCTGGCCCTGCCCAAGACACTGCAGTGCGGTAAGTCTAGAAATGGCTGCAAGCTCTGGATAGGTGAGCACAGAACACTGGGCCAGCACAGCTATGGTCAGTCAGTCAAGGGGCTGGGTGGGCCAGCACAGCACCTGCTAGCCCCTGTAGACCGTGCTCCTCAGCCAGGCCCTGGAGGCTGCGTATATGGCAGACACAAGCCCCAGAAATGCACCACCTAAAACCCCATGACACATATACCACATGGAGGCCTCAGCAGGGCTATTTTTATCCTGAAGTGTGAAGTGGCAGCCTGATGATCTGGCGCCTCTGCTGGTGCAGAGAGAGAGCATGCAGGACATGGCAGGAAAAATTGCAGGCACTGGAACAGGCTGCCCCAAGTCCTGAAAGGGCTGACAGTGCCTTCAGTCATACCTTGGGATGGCCTCATGAGAGAACCCTGAGAAAAGCACACCAGCCCCACACAGAGGCCGGGGCCCAGGCAGACAGGGTCCTCCCCATGGTCATAGTTAACATAGAAGAGGCTGAGGCTCAAGCCTCAGGCCACCTGTCACGTTTGTGATTTTGTGTGACACAAAAGAGGAGTCGACAGAGTCACAGAGATGGGACACACTGGAGGCTGTCTGCCTGGCTGTCCCCTGGGGGGAGAGCACGGATGAAGAGTGTCTCCCTCTCACGTGGCCAGCACATGGACATCTTCAGTTTCTGGGGGCTACAAGGTAAGCTGGCCCCCAAGGAGGCAGCCGGCAACACCAGGCACTCAGGCTACAGACCGTGGTAAAAGTTGTACCTACCCAAAGAGCAGGAGTGGGCTCTGCTGGGGTGAAGGAGACAGTCAGCCAGGCCTGCACCATCATACTCTACTCAAGATTAGCGATTCCACAGGGACCCACTTACTGGCACTACTATGCACCTGTTAAAAGCACTGGGTTCCTAGGCATCAGCTGGCACCCACTGGATTCAGTGTGGAAAGAGGGTCCTGACCTGTAAGTGTTCCCATAAGCCCTGTGTGGGTATTGACAGAACTTAGGTCTGGTTGTGGGGACTCAATTTTCAGGAATGTAAGCAGGGTTCAAATTGCAGTGCCCGTACTTTACAAGCTCTTTGCAGTGGCGCACAGCAAGCTGACGGTTTGTGAGAAGTCCTCTGCAAGGAGAGGCTACAGCAGCCAGTACCTTCTAAGCCCACAGAGGGAGCACAGATGAAGGGAGGAGGGGGAAGGGAAGAAGGAAAGGCGGAGGTCTACTTTGCCTAAGCTGAAGTCAAGAGCCCTCTAGATCCGCCGTGATGTGAGACTGAGCTTCCCCTATCTCCACGTAGCCAGCAGCGCTGTAATCTGTTTTAATTAAATGCGCTAGAAACACAACTCAGGCGATGCATGGCATCCAAGTGCCAGCACTCATATTTATGGCTCTGTTGACAGACGACTCGTGACATCTGCTTCCAACCTCCGTAGCCACTTTATTAAATAGAATAAATAAAAGCTGGGCAAAATGGCAGCAGCCTCACCAGAGATGGGCTACTGGGAGTCTCCAAGCTCAAAATTTCTAGTTTATTTTGTTGAAATGCTTTTGGTGAAATCAAAGCATGTACTATATTAGAGGGACTGTGGGAAGTTAAGCAAGAGAATAAAATGGCATTAAAAGAGGGGTGCCGTGACAGGCTTGTGGCTGCCCATCACCTGTGGCCAGCCCTGGGGCCTGAACACCTGCCCACCCATGAACATTGAAGGCTCCCACCATCCCAACCATGCTTAGCAAGATCACACCCAGTACAGACCACAGTTGACAGAAAAGCCTATTGACCCTAGAGAAAACAGGAGCCTGGTACAGTAAAGAGAGGGAGATAGAGAAAAGTCATCAGACAAACAGAGAAAAGCAGAAGGGCTGAGAAGAGGGCTTCACAGGTAAAGTGCTTGCTGCATAAGTATGACAACCTGAGTTTGGATCCCCAGGTGTGGCGGTGTGCACCTGGGAGGCAGGAAAAGGAGGATGTTGGGAGTTCCCTGAACAGCTAGCTTAGACAAATCAGTGAACTCTAGGTCCCAGTGAGAAAGGCTATGCCAAAAAAATAAGGTGGATGCCAGGCATGGTGGATCTCTGTGAGATTGAGGCCAACTTAGTCTAAATGATAAGTTCTAGGCCCGCTTGGGGCTACAAAAAGACCCCCACCAAAAAAAAATGTGGAGGGGGCTGGAGAGCTAGCTCAGCGATTAAGAGCACTGACTACTCTTGTTCAGTTCCCAGCACCCACATGGCAGCTAACAACCATCCATAACTTAAGTTCCAGGGAGCTGATGCCTTCTTTTGGGGTTCCTTGGGCATTATACACATGGATGCACTTACATACAAGCAGGTAAAATACTCATACGCATTAAAAACAAATTTTTTATGTTTTAAGATGTGGCAAGCTTAAGAAGATACCAACTTCAACCTCTGGCCTCCACGTGCACTGGCACACGCAGCCACACATACATGAGGACACCCATGCATACACCACACAGACACATTCATAAAAGAAAGAGCAGACAAAAAGAAAGGAAGACAACGGATGAAAGAAGAAAGGAAAACAGGGGTGGAGAGGCAGAGAGTGTTAGGGGGCAGCCCCCACACCCATGAGAAGACCCCAAACCTACAGGGACACTGGTACACTCCCCTAGACCCTGAAACTGGGAGGTGGGCATGTCTGCCCCTGCACAATGAGTCTAGCAGCTCAGTCAGACCCCTGCGCCTCCTCTGCACACATCTCACCACCTTCTGTCAGTTTAGGGACAACCTAACAGCACAAGTGATGTGAAGGCTCGGTCTCAGTTCTCCGCTGTGCATCGCAAGCACACCCTGGAAGCCACCTGCATCCTAGGCTTGAGTGATGCTTGCCTGGCTGCAAGGCATAAGGGGCCTTTAGGGAAGGAGTTCCATGAAGTTATGTAACTTCTTACTGTGTCAATACAAGAAGCTCAGCTAATAAACTCCTGGCAGACGGCTAGAAGGAGCTTTTAATGCTCTCCAGGCACAAGTCTGAGAGGTGAAATGTGACTATCTAGCAAAGCAATGGAAAAGCACCCTCTGCTCCTGCTCAGGCTCCAACCCTGCCATCTGCAGTGACACCAACAGCCCACCACTAAGCCCTCGTGGAGAACTACAGGGTGTTCCGAGCAGCATGTGCCTACCCTTGCCTGAAGCACCTCCAGGGCACTTGGAGCACACTTAGTCCTGGGGACACAGCTCAGGCAGTGAGCAAGGTCTCTGGAATGTAGTCACAAGCTCACTGTGATGGGGACAGTGAGGAGTAAGAAGGTCTGTCTTGGATGACCCTCCCACCTCAGGCTGCAGGTTCTCAATTACAAAGCAGAGATTTGGCCCTACTGGAGTCTTGGGAAATGATGGATCAGATTGTGCACATGCATCAAGCCAGGGGTATAGTACGTGGCAGGTAATGTACACTATCTTGATGAAGAAAGTAGTGGTAAGGTTGTGCCTGCCAGGCCCCAGGGTGCCATGTGAGCAAGCCATGATTCCATGGCTGTCCTGACCCAGAGGTGTTCCCCACCCCCCACAAAAGGGTCAGGCTGGAGATGACAATAGCTCAGCCGTGGGTCCCCAAATTGGGCCTGGTGCTGGTACTAGTGGCCAGCCTGTGGCTGGAAATGGCAACCTCCAAACCCACATCTGCCATGGAAGAAGCTTTCTGGCTCACCCTGGCCTTCCCGCCAGGGTGGCCCAAGATCATGAGTCACCCTACTGATGGGAACCTCAAGTCCAGAGCTTCAGCAGCAGCAGCAGCCTGGGAGTCAAGAGCTGCCCCAGGACCCTGCCAGCCTCATCAGGACTGCCAGCCACCCAGGAGACTCCTGGGTGGCCCTGGACTCCTCCCAATCAGCCTACCAGGCTGGCACAGCCTAGGGCCACAGGAGGAAGGCTATTGAGGGCCAGCCTGCTTGAAGGAGCAACAGAGCCCAAGTACAGGAGGACTGGCTATGACAGGGATGTGGGGACTTCTCAGCACCCCCACAAATACACACCTGCACTGGCAATGAACAGCCATAGTGATGGTGACTGAGAAACAAGACAGAGCTGGTGACAGAGCACATTAGTTCACCAGCTGGGCAATCCACCCTCCATCTGCTGCTCTCCCATAACTCCAGGAGACACAGAAAAGGGACAACCTGCCATCTTTACATCCTGCAGGGACAGAGTAAAAGTCACTGACACAAATCCATGGGCAGGGTGATGACAAAATGTCGAAGGGACCCACACATTTGTTCCCTCATCACATGACACAGAACACATGGAACCAGCTGTGCCCAAACTGTTGGGTTTCTATCACCTGTGTGGGGGACATACGGCCAGCACAGACAGGACCTCTCAGTGTGAAAAATGCCGAGGACACTGCGAGGTGTCAGAGAGCAGTCGCTGCAAATCTCTGCTCATTAGCGTTTCTCATGAAGCTAAATGTGTTGTAATAAAACGGCTATTAACGCACTTACATTGATGGCAACACTGCTTGCTACAGCCCCAGTTAACCTTTCAGATAAAAATGAAGGGCCAGGGCAAAGAGCTCACAATGGCCCCGATGGACTGCACTCCTGGCTACTGGCCACTTAGGAGACACAGGAAAAAGGGCCTAGCCAGACAGTGGCACAGGACCAGGCGGGGGTAGGTCTTCTGCTACATGGGGGGCTTCACTCTGCTAAGAATGCCAGTGTAACTGCTCCCCCAGGTAAAGGTGGTACAGGCCTCATGTGACTGCTGAGACTCTGTCCTGGCCTTGGTGTAAGCCACAGGCACAAAGGATGTGCGGGCAACTTGGACCACAGCCTCATCATGACACACAGCCATGTCATCCCCAAAGCCTGAACTTCAGTAGGCCCCACTGCTGTCACTGCCTACTCCTCCCACGGGGAGACCTGAAGCCTCTCATGGGAAGGTACTTCTTGACTTCCCAGATACCAGAGCAGTGCTGCAGAGTTCCAGACTGCTCTCTCATAGGAACCCAGAGCTCCACACCTCACATCTAGCATGCTACGGCACTTCATGGTTCTACTGGGGTGTTTTGTTTTGTTTTGTTTTGTTTTGTTCATACTACTGGGGATTTAACCCAGGACCTCATGAAAGTTAGTAAGTATTCCACTGCTGGGCCATACCCCAAGTCCCTATCTGGAGGATTCTAGGCAGGTGCTCTACCACTGAGCCACATCCCCAGCCCCTCGCTGGGAAATTCTAAGCAGGGCTCTACCACTAAGCCACACCCCCAGCCCCTCACTGGGGGACTCTAGGCAGGGTTCTACCATTGAGCCACACCCCCAGTCCCTCACTGGGAGATTCTAAACAGAACTCTACCACTGAGCCACACCCCAAGCCCCTCACTGGCAAATTCTAAGCAGGGCTCTAATACTGAGCCACACTCCAGCCCCTTACTGGGGGATTCTAGGCAGGTGTTCTGCTGAGCTATATCCCCTACCCTCTTTTTACTTTTTAAGACAAACACTCAGTTGCCCAGGCTGGCTTTAAACTCTCTCTATAGCCCAAGCATGCTTTTAACTTATAATCCTCCTGCCTCAGATTCACAAGTAGCTGGGATTCCAGACCCATGCCATTAGGCCCAGCTTATGGTTGTTTACTAAATATTCCCTTACCAAAGGTTCTGCTGTGACTGGTAAGGGATCCAATGCAGTATACACCCTAACGCTAGCTGGGGAGTGAAAGTGGTCCCACCTTCCCCTGCTCTCACTTCAGATACTTTTGCAGCTGGAACAAACAGGACTCTGGCTGAATGAGGGACAGCTGCCTGCATAAAACAATGGGCCACACCAGCAACTTCCTATCTACATCATCCCATAGGTTAAGAGCTCAAGGGCCATAGGGAGTGATGGAGGCCCTGGACCAGGACCCTGTGCAGGTAGGCAGTGCTGTGGGGCAGACTTCACTTCGTCCACAGGCACCCAACGGCCTGGGTAAGGTCCTGGACGCTCTGGGCCTCAGCTTCCTTGTCAGTGCAGTAAGGACAAGGATGGATGGGCCTGCTTCCAGCCCTGCATCAAGAGTCCAACTGAGTGGTGGAAACGTAGAGCCAGGTGCAGAGCTGGGCAGAGGAGGCACAGGCAGCATCTGGGACTGTGGGTGTGCAGTTCTCCTTGTGCACAGGATCCAGCTCTGTCCCAGACAGGAAGGCTGAGAAAAACCTCCTACATCCTGCAGCTAGACTGGTTTGCATGGAAGTTTTGCTCCAGGAAATGTCAGTGTTAAATGGGTAAGGGTTTGAGGAGGTGCAGGCCATCCAGGAAGGAGAGGTCACTTGGGGTTCTCACTGGTTCCCAGGGTCACAGCCAGGAAATGGGAATGAGGCCTGAGTGCTACAGGAGCTGGCAAGTTACCCTCTGCTTTATTTGTTTCATTTTGTTTCATTTTATTTTTTGATCTTTTTGAGACACGGTCTCCCTGTAGCTCCAGCTGGCCTGGAACTTGCTAGGTAGACCAGGCTGGCCATGAACTCACAGAGATCCTCCTGCCTTTGCCTCCTGAGTGTTGGGATTAAAGGCATGTGCCACCACACTTGGCCACCCTCTGCTTTAAAACAAGACATTTCCTCTATCTTTATTTTACTAAAACAAGGCATGATACTTCACCAAAGACTCATGCCATCCTATGGGCAGTGACAAGGAGAAATGAAAATCCACAGCTGCCCTCTACTTGGGAAACATTGTGTCATCACCTGGACATGAAGCAAGAGGAAGCAGGTTGCTTCAGCGACCACATGGGCCACATGGCCCAGACCATCCCTGAGGCATAGCGTGACAACTCTACCTGGTGGATCCTGTGCCTCACCCTGAATCTCCCTGACACTCACCTGCTGGCTGGGGCTGCCTGGGATCCCCTAACTGGCTGCTGCCATCCAAAAAGTAAAGTGGTCCAAGTGTTAAAATAACCACCCCCATGGCCATGCCCCCTACAACATGGTCCCTGCTCACTAGTGGAACAGATCTACCTCCATCTCCAGCTATGGCCATGCCCCACCCCCCAACATGGTCCCCATGCACTCTGAGAACAGACCCACCTCCATCTCTGTGCTGTGGGCATGCACCTTCTGCACCATGTCCTCAGCCTCTCGCATGCGACGCGTCAGCTGGGGTGAGTACTCGGCCTGGGTCAGCTCACTGTCATAGGATCCCAGGATGGCACGCATGCCGTCCCGCTCCTGTGGGAACAAAGGGCATCAGGTCAGGGCAAAGACAGGCTGTGAGGTGGTGTCAGGGACAAAGAGGCAGGAGGAGCCTTGGGGCTCCCTCCTGAGGTGCCTTGGAGTGCTGAGGGACAACCACCTGCTTCTACCTACCCTACCAATGGCACACATGGAGGCCCTGGCATGTGGAGCTCTAGACCTGTGCCACTGGGCTAGCCATCTGAGAAGCCCATCCTGATGACAGCTCTTGCTTTACATGGTGAACACCATCTTGCTGTGACTTCTGACCAGTGACACCCAGAGTGAGCACAGAAGCCTAGTGTGAGGACATACTCCATTTGAGAAAAGTCTTCCCACTGCCCTGACGGGCTGGAGTTCCACAAAAAGTTGCAGCCTCAGTGAGTACCTCCCTCCAGAGAGCTAATGGCTGTGTTAGGCCAACATATGTGCACCACGCCCCCAGCTACAACCGAGCATCTCTGTCTTCCCACTCAGCACTAAAAGGGGAGGGGTGTCACAGGTTTCCTGGATGATACATGACAGAGTCAGGGGAATTTTCAGGGCTCCTCATCTGTGCCTCACTGGAAGTCTTAATTAGGGTTGGTGGTATGAGCCATAACTGGGGTACAGGCTTCCTGGGATGCTAAGAGATACATCACAGGAGCCGAAGAAATGCATTCCACTCAGTCAGCAGGGAGGCAGGCCGATAGACATGCAGCCTGCACTGTGAGGGGCTACATGTAGGGTACAGCCTCACTAGGGAGCCTGGCTCCCCTGGGCTGCTCACTGCCTCCCCTCTCCCTGTGACTGGGGTTCTTAAGTTTGACCCTAGACCCACAGGACCACTCCTGGATGGAGGAGGCCTAGCCCAAGAAACCTCTCCCCTGTCATCTGCCTGCTCTGGAACCATCTGAGATCCATGTGGGCTGCACAAGAGAGGATGGTGAAGCCCTCCTCCAGATGCCCAGCTGTGCCAGAGCGCAGTTCTTCCACCCGCCCGTGTGTAGGAGCACCTTGAAAAATTTGAAGAGATACCGGTATTCTGCAGGTCTGGGCAGGCCCAGTCTGTGCTGCTAACTGGAACCTCGGCACCCCTGCTGATAGGCTCAGTACCTTCTGCTTGGGCTGTGCCCAATCATGCAGCCAGCACTGAGAATGCTAGGGACAGCAGAGCCCAGGAAGAGAAGTTCCTATGAGAAGCAGCTCCCAAGCTGTTCTGCAGCCGGCTATCTAGTCAAGTCCCAGTTCCTCCCTTAGTAAGAAAGAGGTCACAAGGGTGGCTGTGCAGATCAATACTGCCACGGACAAAGTGCCCAATGTGATGCCCTACAGACAACCAACACTCATGAAAAAGACAGGATTTTATTACCAGTGGCAAATGCTTCTAATACGAAGCCCTGGACAAGAGCCCTGACTGTTCCTGCCCACCCCTTCTCAATAATACACACCCCAGGAAAAGTCAGAGTGGTCAGATATGACTTTGTTCTGAGTCCCTGGCCAGTGGGTCCTTCCCAGGTGACCTGTGCCGTCTGTCCATACCAAGAGAGGCTGAGGGGGCACATGATGGGTCCCACAGGGACTAGCATATTCAGACCTTGCAGGCATCAGGAGCAACACCCACAAACACCAAAGCTCTTTCCATGAGGCCCAATTATGTCCTCCAGGAGGGACAGATGCACAGGCTCGGCCACACCCCAGCTCCCACAGTGTCCATTCAGCCATCCTCAGCCCTCCTGATGTACGAGAGCTGGGTGAGTGTGCCAGGACACAGAGCAGCACCCTGCTGCCTCACTGCTCAGGCCACTGCTCCCACAGCCATGTCTGGGCTCTCTTCCCTCGTGAGCCAGGGATGAGGTTATCACCCCAGCACAGACTTTGTAATTAGTAGATGCCAAAAAATTCAATAACTGAGAAATTAAAGTTCTAAATCCAGCTGGAACTGGTCACTGATCTGGGGGCAATCTGTTTCCGAGGGAAGGTTTATGAACTGTCATAATTTTATTGAAATTCTCTATCTTCCTATTGACTTTTATCATCTTGAGCTGGTTTACCCAAGTTATCATTAGCAGAGTGTCGATACCACAAGAGGCCGGGCGGGGGAGTTTCATTTCATCAACAAGCTGTAATTGTCTCTTTTATTGATCAGTAAATCTCCAAGATGCCACCTTACACTGGGCTTCTCTCCTCTAGCACCTCTAGGCTGATGCAGAAGAAAAATAGAACACAAGAAGTTTGTTGTTTGTACCTTTTCAAGGAATTTTCATGAGCAGAAGAGTGGGTGCTGGGCGGCCAAGAACGGTAACGACTTTTTAATGAGCAATTCTACTCTTGCCTCATCTGCACGCAAGCAAGCCCGGGCAATTCATCCGCCACCAACAGGTACCAGGGTGGTACCCATGGAGCCCTAAAGACCTGTTCATGGAGTACTGAACAAAATGGCATTTTCCACTGAGTGCTTCTCCTCGGGTGCAGAACAGTCCTGTTCGAAAGCAATCAGGTTTGCTCATGGTGTAATTAATGGCATGGAGGAGAGAGTGCTGGGAGAGTCTCACCCAGGAAGTAATGGGCTATGGATAGAGACAATCACAGGCGAGGCAAAGTGTCCTTGTGCATGTGGTGACTGGCCTGAAGGATAACATGTCCCAGTGATAGGAAAGGCCAGCAGCCATCCTAGCTGTCTTGACAGCCCATAATGATGAAAGCAGAATGATGAAACCAAGTGGAATGCCTGGTGACATCAAGCAGTGGCAGAGGGTTTGGGGAGACAGCTCAGGGAATAAAGTACTTGCTGTGCAAGTGTAAAGGCCTGAGTTCAAGTCCCAAAACCCACGTAAAAAGCCAGGCGTGGTGGTGTATGCTTGTAATCTCAGTACTGGGGAGGTGGACTCCTGAGGCTCAATGGTCAGCCAGCCTAGACAAAATCACCAAGTCCCACGTTCCAGTGAGGGACCCTGTCTCAATAAGTAAGATGCAGCCTGGCAAGATGACTTTTGCTGTCAAGTGTGAAGACCGAAGTGTGATAACCAACCAGTACCCCCATACTGGAAGGAAAGAACCCAGACTCTTGAGATTTGTCACCTGAATGGTAATGACTTTTTAATGAGCAATTCCACTTTTGCCTCATCTGCATGTAAGCAAGCCCGGGCAATTCATCCTCCACCAACATGCCCCCCCTAACACAAATAAATTAAATTAAATGTAGTCTTTAAAGAAAAAAAAAAAACCCACAGATACCGCAATTGGACATCTGACCACTATACTATACATACACGCATGCATGTACCAACCAACCAACCACACACACACACACACACACACACACACACACACACACGGTCCATTTAGAGAACTAAAACTCTGTTGCATGGCTTTTCCTGGGGACACCATTTCTGATTCACCCACACACACAGAGAGGGCAACAACAGACCTAAAGAAAGGAGTTGGCCCACATCCAGCCTGGTGAGCCAGTAAGTTTACTGGGCTCATTATAGAAGCATGGCTAACTTGGGGCAGCTGCATCACCAACAAGCCCAGTCCAGCATGCTGACTTCTCTCAAACGCCATAGCCCTGGAGCACAACTTGCACAACTTGTAGGCAGCTCCTCCAGGAGTGACCCCTCCCCAGTCCTGAGGTGTCTGAATGTCTGGGAGTCTCAAGCCCAGGCTCAGCCCCACCTCCCACCCTCCTCTCTCCAAAAGGAAATGTTCCAATCTGGAAGAAAGAACTGCCTAACAAGCTGGGAAAGAATTCCAAGGTCAACGCTTGGCAGTAGTTTTCTAGAAGGGAAACTGAGGCACGGAAGTAGACCTGCTTATCCCAGGCCCAGGCACCCCAAACCACTGCTGACTAGAGCCTGAGCTTCCTGACAAAGTCTTTCCTTCATGACAGCACTTAGGACTGGCACAAACTTCGACAACAAGGCCAGCAGGGGCCATAAGTGACCATCAGAGGACAAGCAACAGCAAGTGGGGCACAGGAATGGGCATCCCAACACCTGGGCATACACTGGAGGACCCTAGAGTTCTGTGAAACTGTCAGTTGTGTCAAGTAGAAGCCTGGTGACTCATCTTTCATGTACGCGTACGAATGCAAACAAAGCTTCAGTTCAGCATGGGGAAAGCTCTACTGGGCTCTAGGGAGCCCATGGAGGTGGGACCAGGGAAGCCCAGGCCTCAGGGCAGAGGAGGCAAGGACAGGCCTGTGGCCACAGCACTGGAAAGATAGCAGGTGGGCATAGGTAGCCACAGCATGTAGGCTGCATTGGATACAGGCAGGAGAGGGCAACCCAGGCAAAAAGAGAACAAGATAGAGACCACTACCTAAGCCCATCCTCCAGGGGGGAGCTCTTCACCACTGTTTTAGGGGACCAGCCTCCAGATACATCCAGGAGTCCCTTAGGGAAAAGAGAAATACAAGACCCAGGTACACAGAGGCCAAGCGTGGCCACAGCAGAGAGGCCATGAGGCCAAGGGGACAGCCACAAGGTTACCCTGCCTGGGAGTCCCAAGAGTTTAAGGAGGCCAGCCAGACTCAGTGTGGGAAAAGAGGTGCCAATGTGAGGTGGAGAATGAGCCCACAGCTTGCTGCCCCTCCAGAGACATGAGGTATGCATGCCTGGGTTAAGTCTGAGGCCAGAAACTGCCACATGGCCAATCCTAGCAGGACCTTAACTTGTTCCACGACCTGGGAAAAACAAGCAAGCCCTGAGCCTCGACTAGATGGTGGAGAGGCAGAGGGCTTACAGACCTTGAGGTTCAAATACAGCTCACTGCAGGGGACAGACCCACTAGGGGACTCGCTGGTCCTGGCTGCTGCTCATGCTCAATGCTGCTCTTCCCCTTCCTTTTGTCATATCGTCTTCCTCTGTGTCACACATCCTTGCTTCAAGTGGACACTGAGCACCCTGTGAGACAGGTGCACACGCTGTTCCTAGGCCAACTTGGTGGAAGAGACTGGTGGGACAATGAGGACCCAAGGGAGTTTGTCCCTTCCCATTCCTCACTGAAAGGGGAGC